ATTAAATTTTACATAACGGTTGAGCACCATTACGATCATTATCTAATTAATTGAGTGTGCTACTTGAGAACACCCTTGGTTAGCTTGATCGTTTCGGACTTGAATCGAAAGGTTAAGCTATCCCCGAATTAGCTAGGGACAGTTAGGAGTTTATGATAGCATATGTTTTTTCATGTCATAGCAACAAAGTCTACGATCGAGCAATAATAAAGCAAAATGTTAGTATTTTAAAAATCAATTTACCTCAAAAATTATTACGTAATACGCGAGGTAAATCAATTTTTAAAATACCAATATTTTGATAGTGATCTATCAATTTTGTCGATCTTTGCATAAAGTCTGTCGAGTTGACAGAAGTCAACAGATCGAAAAGATAGCTAAGCATAGATATACTGGAAGCGATCTGGTCAGACCCAGAAACACAGGCATTAATCCTAATTCAGCATATGGAAACAAGCTAAGCCCGCGTAAATTAACGCATGAAGCCAATTCATTAATGATTGTCTATTGATAGGATCTGTAAAAACCGAATTCTGCATTTAAGGCTTCAATCAAGGCCGGCCTACTTTATGATGCTACGCATCGCGAATTCAGTTGATGACTATGATACCCGGCGTAACTATAGTTGCTATTTTTGGGCGCATATCCCGTCTAGTTTATACATCAATTGCACCGTTGTATGCTGCAATCTCTCAATAAAGATCATTAAATAAAGTTTAATACCTAGTATTATTGGCTATAGGCACCCAAATAATAGTACATATCACGCGTAAAATACTTTTCGATTTTTATTATAACTCCTTACATAGATTTGATTAATTAGTATATGAAATACCGAAATTCTTGAAAGCATGATGATAGCTCTTGATGCTTCGTATATGTGATTTAGTACAAAATATCACAATTTTTCCAAGAGATAAGTTTGCCATGATGATTATTTAAGAGGTAATTCGTTTTTGAAAGGATAAATAAAACAACAAATCTTATTATAAAAAATCGGGTTAATATAAGTTTCTACAGTATAGGAATTTGGCTGTCTTACATATAAAGTGTTTTTCCTACTAAATAACTTTTTAAATTTTTAATTAAGGGTTGTGGAGCTTATTGAGACAATACTAATGGTAGTAAAATCATTCAAATTGGGCTGGTAGATTATGATATATTGATGCTTTTATTTTTACCATATATATTTTTTTCTTAATACCTAGTTCCACCCCTATATGAAACTAATAGTGATATCGCGCTGCATTTGACTTAAATATTTACTTAAGAGTATTTATTTGTCTTGGCAACACTCATATCATCTGCTACTATTTCAATTACACATAGTAAAATTAAAATCGATATACAAATGTTAATATTTATAAGTGTGATACACAAATCATTTTGTGATTAATAAAATTATAACAAACTATAAACATAACAGAACAAAGCAAAAAAGAAACTAGTATCACGATGAATATGGAAAGCGGACAACCACGTTGTCAAAATATTACTCTATAAAAAGTTTATTTGGTTTTGTTTAATTTTTGTCGATATTATTCCAGATTGCTCCAAATGGAGTCACTATAGATATAAAATAAGGCAAAGTCTGTACATTTTATTGAATTAAACTGTAGGTTTTTATTCTTATTTTATATCTATAGAAACCCGTTCTGAATATTTTTTGAATAATATCACAAAACGAAGACCAAGCAACTTTTTTTATAGGGTTAGTATGGATTCATTAGTAAATTTAGTAAGCTCTAATGACTGTACTACAATCAAGTATTTACATACCCTTGGCAACAAACAAGAAAAAGAATGTATCAATTTGAGTTAGTGTAACCAAATTAGTATTTGTTAATTACTTCTGTTTTCAATTCCAGAATTTTATTTGAACACAAGACATATTAAATGTAGCAAACTTTTATTCATTTATATAGTAGTTAGAAGTTTAATATATATTCGTTCAAAATCAGATTTTCTTATTTTTATGCACTCACGCGAAAGATAATTAATCGAAAACTTTTCGCCTACTGTTCTGTTCATATTTTTACGTACTCATGCAAAAACAATCAATTTCAAAGATTTTTTTCATTATTGCGGCTTTATTGATTTGGCTGCTCAAATATACTTCCTGTGAAATTACAACTTCCTCCAAAACCAATGGAACAATTTTAAATGAAAAATTAATGAATGATCCTGGAGAATGTGTTGGAAACTTAACACGAAGAAATCATCCATCAGCCGATCCCTTAGGATGTTATATACTTAATTCATCCTTTCACATTGATACTTTAGACGGTCTTTCGAATTTAAACTTTTCTGATCCATATAAAGATCAAGATGGCAATTTAATGGATCCCGGCCTATGCATCATTCATTGTGCCGATTATCTTTTTAAATTTGCAGCACTTACAAATGGAAATAAGTGCAGATGTGGAAATAACACTGGTTTAGATGCGTACACTAAATTAACTGATGAATCATCAATCAATAAAACTTGTAATTTCAAATGCGTTGGTAATTCAAGTTATATATGTGGTGGAAAAGATGGCTACACAATTTATGACGCATTAAAGTCTATTTCAAGTTACAGTGCACCTACTATTGATATCAATAAAAAACTTGAAATAATTCATAACCTTACTAAAAATGTTCGATACAAAGGGTGTTATAAGGATAGTCCTTATTGTAATCAAAGACTTTTAAATGGTACTTCAGAAGAAGTTTCCGGTATGACAATAGAATCATGCTTAACTTATTGTTGGCAAAGAAATTTTACATATATGGGGTTAGAAGTTGGATCACAATGCTTTTGTAATAATGATTACAATAGTTTAACCAGTCTATCAGTAGAAGATTGTAGTTCTAGTTGTGAAGGCAATAATTCAGAGATCTGTGGAGGTCCCTTAGCCGTTAGTATATATAATGCTTCTAATTACGGTTCAGTTAATAATGACCCAGTACCTTCAGGCTTAAGTAAGGGTACTATTGTCGGTCTTATCGTTGGTGGCACTGTTGTTGGCATTGCTATTTTTGTATTGATCATATGGCATTGTTTTGTAGGAGAATGTGGACACTTTAGTCATTAGAGTTTTAAAATATTTTATCCTATTAGTCCTATAGCATCATAAGTGATTTTTCATGAACAAGCTTTAGTAATTTCTGATGTGTGGATAGAAGATGTACTGTGTTACAAAAATTTTGTGTTCGAATTTTATTTGTAATATTTTTTTTATTGTATTAGTATATTTGTTAGTACTATTGTATGGAATGGCTATGCATGGGACTGAGACCGTAGTTCTTGGTCCATGACTACCGATATTGATCTGAGACCACTGATAACGGTCTGAGACCCAAGATTTTGGTATCGGACCACTAGAATTTTAAAATGTATAAATATATCGCTTAGATTAGTAAAGAACAAAATTAAAAATTTCTTTTTGCTCCGACCAAATAACTAAATAGACAAATATATTACTTAACAACCCATTATCATTAAATCCAAATCCCTTATAACATTCATCCCGCTTAACCTATACTTGTAACTCTGAGCTAATTTGACCTCATGTTAGCAAAATCTCTCCCATGGTGGCAACAACTATATGGTTTAAATAAGCAAGAGTTTTATAAAGGTTAGAAAATAAAAATACAATCATATATTAATTTTAATATAATTATCTTTATTTTCATTTATTATAACATGCATCTATAGTGGTTTTACACTTATATATTTTTTATGTATTTTTCAATTTTTTTTTGAAGTTTTATATATAAAAATTTTAGCTCAAATTTTTCATGTTGAGGTTAATATTTGGGTTAAATTTAATGTTTGAAAAGGTTTTTGGGGTGTAGAACATTTTTACTTAGAATACCACATACTAATTAATTAGCCAGTTTTAAGCTAATTCAACATAGGTAGTAAGGTGCATTTTAGTAAAATTTTATTTTATTTATTTCTACAATCAAATTTTTAAATCCTGTATTCTTGTTAAACAAGTGCTTACAAAACGTGGCAAATTAAAATTTTTATTATGATAAAAATCTAGGAAATTTCAAAAAAATCTTGACAAAATAAGGCAATATAAAATTAATTTCTTGGCTTTCATAACCCAGCCGGGTCTAAAAGCCAGAATTTTAAAATTCAAAAAAAAATAAAAAAATAAAAAAATCTATACCAGCCAATAGAGATGCAGCTTGCTTTAGCGATGCCAATTTAATAAATTAAAATGCTGAAATAATTTACTTTACGCAACTTTTATTGTACATGAAAAAACTTATTTTGATTTTTAGCTTTTATAATAATAAAATTATTTTAATTAAATTAACATCACTACTCATAGTTTTTTAAAAGAGCATAGCATGTTTGCTTAATTCAACAACTTCATATCATGCTTCACCTGCCAAAGTTATAGGATTAAAGCATTGAATTTCATAGTAATTAATCAAAGCAGATAAATAAAATACTTGCATTCTAATTGGGCTGTAATAGAGAGAAGTGAATTTATTAAGATTGAACAATCAAATCTATGAAATAATCAAATATGCAAATCTTATTACTGCTTGATCAGTTTGCTTTATTACACGAAGAACATATGGGAATTCCATTTGCTATCATTACAGGCTTTATAGGCCTTATATAAGATTTGGTCAAATATCTATTCCTCTAAAGGAATATTTCAATCCAAGTATACAATTCACATCTTATAACCTACTATATATCTGTGACTATTTATAAACATATCGTAGCCAGAAGAAACCATATAGAATCAGTTATGTAGTAATATCGGTAAATTAGGTGCATAAAAATTTTTGCATTTACAAGTTACATAAATTATTGACACGATAGACTATACAGAAACTTAAATCTCTTAATGCGTAGTAACTGCATGGTAGTATGTAAATTTAATACTAATTGTCGCGTATAATCGTGAAATTTGGGGGCCTTAATTTAAAAATATAAACCCTACTAAACCCTACCTATACTTTTAATTATAAACCAATCCTAGTCCAAATCTAAAAAAAAATGCCTAAAAAAATTGTACTCCCAAAATTTTAAAAATCGTATATTAATTAGGGGTTTATTTCACAGTCGTCAGAAATTATGTAATTACTACATCATTACTATGCAGTTACTGTATATTAAGATATTTAATTTTCTGTAAGGGAGTAACATATAGTGTTGTTTTAATTGGTTTGATCTTTTTTTTTCTTTTTTTGAATATAATTATTCTAATATGCCTCCCCAGGGTTAATGTGAATAACTTTGCCTGATAAACATATTTTATATATTTATATATTGATGGAATTAATCCTAGTTTAGCTGTGTATACGCCAAAAAATAATGTAGGTGTTGTCTTTATAAAATTAATCCTTCATCTTTATTACCAAGGTTTTATCTGATACATGGACAAGCATTATACATAATAAATGAATATTACATTATGTCTTAATAACTGGCGATCTATATCTGATATCTCATTAGAATTAGGGGTCTGCAAGCTGGGCTTGTCCTCATGCCCAACAAAAAGCATAGGCAATGCACTGGTACAAATTTTAGGCATGGGCATAGGCGCAGAACAAAAATTCGGCATGGGCACGGTCACAGACACAAAATTTGGCACGGGTTAGCACATGCATGGGCACTGATATAAGCATGGAAGTAAATGCCAGACGCTAGTTACATTTTAGTGCCCCGCCCATGCCTTAATAATGCATGATACTCTGTGCCCATGCATATAAAGGATCTGACAATTTGTGTCTATGGGCACACAAGGCACTAGTGCCTGGCATGGGCATTTGCAGAACCCTAATTGGAATATATCTAGCCCAACCTCTCCTGGTCGCCATCGTCTCTCGATATGTCATTTAAATTAAAAGCTTCTGATGGGCTTTTATAATTTTTGGTGGGAAAGCGAAACTGGAATCCAAAGAGATGCGTGGATTTTGGACATTTCAACGTATAAATGGTCAATTAAATATATTTTAAAACCATACGCAATTGCGATTCTAACTCTTTGTCGACATATTGTGACTTTAATGGATTATATGTTTATTGCTTTTGGTGAAATTTTTAATTATTTTCTGCTCTTTATATAAATTTAAACTTATTTAACTTATTTGTTCAACAGGCTAATTTTTAAATAACAAAGTGATTAATAATGCAAAGAGCTCTTTAAAAAAATTATTAATTAATTTTATATAATTGAATCTATTAGCTATTTCTTGTAAAATTTACCAACTAAAGTCTAATTAGTATTACAATTTAAACCATGTTCAGTGAAGTTAGTTGACCAATTTTTAGAATAGTGTAGATTCATTAAACTGTATCGCAATGAATTAATCCTGATGGAACTTCAGTGACACAAAGGCAAGACTTGAAGAACCTGTGCAGCAATCCTCATTTTGTGTGCATGGACTACCAGCAGGCACACAGGCTGGTGTGGTTGGTGTTGGAGTAATGCATGTAGTTTCCGTAAGGGCGCAAGTAATTGCTTCTTCATTATTGCACCGTTTTCGATAATTATGATGGTGCTTTTTTTGATTATTTTTATGTTGATTTTTTTATGATGTGCTTTTTTATAATTATTATTTTGAGGGCAACTAAGGTAAGGAGTAGGTGTAGTAGTAGTTGTGAATAAGGAAAAAATTTATCAAAATAAATTAAAAGTTTGTCTATTCATTTTTGTATTTCGGAAGTTCAAATTTTAAGCTTGTAAAGACCTAAACAACCCATTTAATTTCAAAAACAAGATTTTTTCCGTTGTATTACATATCCTTGCACTTAGACATTATAATGTGTTAATTGAAATATAAATTTTAGCAGGCTAAATATCGAAACAATTGCTTTGCTGAAACCTTCGATTTTTGCTAAATATGTTTACAATATTGCTACAATATTGCTACAATGTAATTACAATATT